TTTTCTTCCTTATTTTATTTTTCTCTTTCTGCTGGAAATAGGTCGTTAAGGTCAAAGTATAGGCCAAGGGTTCTTAATTTGGGATTGATAGGTGGGTTTCTTGAAGCCAGTGGAATTGTATGCAAAATATATATGCATGCATTTTTTTCTGGATTAGGGTTCATAGTGCTCATCAGATTCTGAACATGGTCTGTAATAGTAAATGGTCTGTTTATAAAAACATTTGATTCATGTGATTTAGGCAGAAGCCATATTTCTATTGTGTCTCTCACAGTACTGCTTTGTTTCCTCCTTGCCAAATCTGCTGAATTCCTTCCTCTGGTAGTAGAAATTATACGTTTATTTTGTTAGGTTTGAAGTAGATTTTACCCGACATAAAAAATTTAGTGTACAGTTATTTACCAAAGTAGATTTTTATTTACAAATTGTAGGACTCAATAATTCATCTCCCTCTTAGTTCAGAAGTTTAGAATTGACTTGGATTCTACTGGCAGTCATCCTCCAGGTCTTGAACATTCCTGAAATTTGATTACCTTTTGAAAGGTCTTTCAGTGTTCTCCTCCTTTTTAATTCAATTGCCAGTTAAGATTCCCATCCCTTGCTAGCCAGGTTATTGCAATGTTTTTTGTTTTTTTTCGGCAGCTGGCTATGCATTGTATTTTTTTTCCAGAATAAAATTCATTTTGTACCTTTCACCAGATTGATTTTTCTAAAATTGTTTTATCTGCACGTTTTATTGGCTCTTCACTTTTTACAATACCATCCAAACTCTCTTACTTTTGGACCCCTCCAAAAAAATCACACACACACAGATAACAGAAAAAGAACATGTATTCCCCACTTTATTATATCTAACATCATTTTTCTCCACAATCTACTTTTAGTTGTATCAGCTTCTTTTAGGTTTTCAAATCTGCTGTACTTATTCCCACATCATTCCAGTCGTCTATTTTTGTTTCTTTCAGTGTACCTTATGATAGACACCGCACTGGGTCCTTGTTCATGCTCTTCTCTCTGCCTGAAATGTCTTCCTTACCACTCCCTATTTGCATTAGTCCAAATTCTGTCTTTCAACACCTAGCTTACGTGTTATTTTTTCTTTTAAGCATCTCTTTATTCTCCAAGCTGGATGTAATTTTTCTTTCCTCCTTTGAACATTCACAGATCTTTAGCTGTACCTCTTAGTGTATTTAATTCTGTGTACACTGTTAGTTATTTATGTACTTGATATTAGTTTCTTGAGGGCAGAGGCATTGTCTCTCAAGTTTTATAATTATCCCAACATCTCCCATTACCCCCATTTCAATTCTAGCCTTATGCATTTAATAGGTTCTTGGTAAATATTTGTTGAATGAGGAAATCCTTGTTTTTAAAGTAAAATGTAACTTTTTTACGCTTTTAAAAGTTCTTTCGTTAGTTTAAATTTTTTTATTATGATCCTATGGAGAAAAAAGTCAGTAATTCATTAAAAAAATTCTAAGAAAGGCTTACACAGGCTATAATAACCATAAAGTAGCTAAGAATAAAATAAGAATCTAAAACTGTTTTTAAAAAAAGACTCCCTCCCTAAAATACAGAGTATTCTATATGTGTATATATGTACTAGGTCACAATGTAAAACATATGTCTTAATGTGAGATACTTCAAAAATGTATGAAAATCATTGATCTAATATTGCCTCCCAGGGAAAAAATAAGCAGATTAATTAATTTTTTTTTTTTTTTAAAGATGACCGGTAAGGGGATCTTAACCCTTGACTTGGTGTTGTCAGCACCACGCTCAGCCAGTGAGCGAACCGGCCATCCCTATATGGGATCCGAACCCGGGGCCTTGGTGTTATTAGCACCGCACTCTACCGAGTGAGCCACGGGCCGGCCCAGAGTATTCTGTCTGACTAGAGTATAAAGATAATGTAAGGTTCTTGCTATCTATTTAATGTCTGATATTGGTTGTAAAATTAACTAAAGTCTTGGACTGTATAAACAGTTATGTGTTCCAAAGAAGGTGTTGGGGTATGCTAGATGGTCTCTGTGAGAGTAGAATCGTTGACTTTGTAGCCAAATGGGAATTACTTATTTAGTGGGTATAAGTTGGGTAGTTTCTGGAAGCTTTAAAAAAAAAAAAAAAAAATGGGGGGGGGGGGGGAGAGGGAAGAGGGAGGGAGGTTTCGGTAATGGGCCACAATAATCAACCACATTGTATATCGACAAAATAAAATTAAAAAATAAATAAATAAATAAAAATAAATAAAAAACCAAAAAACAAAAAACAAAGGAAATTAGAAGTGGAGGATGTTCTAGGAATAATTTCTGTTTATATAGGAAGTAATTTTTCTTTAACTGATGCCTGGCCAACTTGGAAGGTTTCTGTGGCATTCATTGTCAAAATCAGACATATTTAGACTCTGAAAAGTAAACCTCTGATACTGTGCACTAAAGCCTTATTACTTTTCAGAAATATAAATGAGAGAGTGAGAGAAAAAAAGAATCTAAGAAGTAATGTAGCATTGGGGTAAAGAGTAGAAGCTTCGGAAAGTGACTGAACTGGATTTAAATCTTGTTCCTGCTACTTACTAGTTGTGTGACCTTGGACAAGTTACTTTGTATCTCTAAATCTGTTTTTTCATCTGTTAAATGAGGTAAAAATAACTTAAAGTTTTGTGAGGATTAAATGAAATCATTTAAAAGTATTTGGTACAAGACTCGTGCATTGTAAATGTAAAGTACTATTACTGTAATGATATCCTAGGTCCAGATATCAAAAATTTATCCATGGATCCTTAGAATCCATTATAACATGTTTGACATGCCATGTTGTGGTTGTCATACTCAAATTAGTATATGCATAGATGGATTTGTGAGTGACTGATGACTAAGTAGAATTAGAAGTTTTGCTTTTAGTTTTCCTGTAAGAATTCAAGTGCAATCAGAAAACCAAAAAAAAAAAAAACAAGTCCAGGCTGAAGTTGCAATTTACTTCCACAAAAGCACTTTTTCTATCAGAAGATAGGATTACTCATTTATTGAACAACTACCAAATGCCAGATATATTGGATTCTTTAAAATACATACTATTTTATTGTTACTATAATCCAAGGCAGAAAGAGTTTGAATAATTTGACCAAGACCATACTGTAAGTGTTTGGAACTTGTAGGGAATTGTAGGGCAATGGTAGAAACTATAAGAAATTTGAATTCCTGTCTCATTCAAAATCGTGTACTCTACCTTTGTATTCCTAGCACTTCTCTGTCTTTCAGCTTGGGGAACTTTAAAAATTCTCATACTATACCCCAGACCGTACTCCAGACCACACCCCAGACCACTTAAATCAATTTCTGGGGGTGAGACCCAAGCACAGTGTTTTTTAAGGTTCCTCAGGTGATTACACTGTTACAGAGATTGAGAACTATCACCTGGCCTGGAACAGAGCAGACAGTCAATAAATGCTTTGTTGTTGAAAGAATACGTCCCTGACTACCCAGCTGCTCTTGTAATTCTTTCCAGGATTATAGTCAGGAGTGCTTTTCTGTTAACTTAAGTTTTTAAACAGAGCTTTGTATTATACTTTGTAGATATTCTCCATTCAACCCTATGATGTACACAGGAAGATGTCTGGCAGGAGGTAATGTTTTGCAGTAGATGGAACTCAGAATTTCCTCCTTTGTTGGGAAGAAGGATAGGTGTGGAAATAGGGGTTTCTTTCCTATGTCCCATTCAAGGTTGAAGACATAGGTTGTAAATAAACATTTATTGGTTATTTTTGTTTTAAAATAATTTATATTTTTTAATAATACATGGTCAAAAATCAAAAGGTAGAAAGGGATATACATTGAAAAATTTACCCTCTCATTTCCTCTCATACGTCCCCTCCCAGGATATTATCAATGTTATATCAATATCCTTCCAAAGATATTCTTTTTTTTTTTCCTTTTTGTCTTTTTTCGTGACCGGCAACGGATCGCAACCCTCAGTGTCGCGCCCGTGCCGGACCGGGACCAGCAATGGGATCGCAACCCTCGGTGTTGCGCCTGCAACTCGCTCAGCCAGTGAGCGGCCGGTCTGTATGTGGGATCCGAACCCTCGGCGGGAGCGCCGCCGCGCTCCCAAGCGGCGCACTGTAGCAGTGCGCCACCGGGCCGGCCCCTTCCAAAGATATTCTAAACATAATAAACAATTTATATATGTTTCCCAGTTTTACCCAAGTGGCAGCATGTACATCATGTTTGTCTTTTTACTTGACGATGTATCTTGGAATTATTATATATCCATATGTAAAGAATTTTTGTTTGTTTTTTCAGCAGCTCGCTGATGCAAGGGATCCAATATATACATACAGAGAATTTTATCAATATATAATTTCTTTTTAGAACTAAATAGTATTTCACTATGCACCACAGTTTATTTTAGTCAGTCCCCTGTTGATGATTATTTAGGTCATTTCCAACTTTTCTCTATTACCAACAATGCTACATTGAATAGACAAGTCATTTCACTTCCATGTGAGCAAATCTTCAGATAAATCCTTAAGAGTTCTAGGTATTGATGTTGCCAGTTTTCTTTCCATGAAGGTTGTATATTGATTGGTTGGAAATGACAAAGAAACATGGAGGAATGTGAAGGATTAGAGGTGCGAAGAAGTAATAGTGACCAAGAATGATTGTAGTAGGAATTATATTAAAGTGAGTTGAGAGGATAAGAATGAGCCTACAGCCGGGAGCAGAGAGAGAGAACTAGCAGGTTTTGTGGTGTGTATATACATGAAATTTGTGATTATGAATTAATTTTCTAAAATCCTAAAATTTTTATGTTTAAATCTATGTTTGAATTTATTTTAACACATTTTATTGTGATGCTTTCTGATAAACTCTTTGTATATATAATAGAAAATATGCTTGCTCTTTTCATTTCAGATTTACTTTTAGCATTTGTTGACCAAGATTTTTATCTTTTTTTGCATAACTATTTTTTACTTGAAACATCTCTCTTTTTTTTTTTCTCAGCCCTGGAAGAAAGCGGGACTTTTCTCCTGTTCCTTGGAGTCAGTACTTTGAGTCCATGGAAGATGTAGAAGTAGAGAATGAAACTGGCAAGGATATATCCTTTGCAAAATGGCTTATTGTTTAGCAAGATTGTCATGTTGTCTAAGAAGAGTGTGTAGTTTCTAAAATGTTTTTTATTCCTGCTGTTTATTTCATTTTATTTACCACCTGTTCTTTATAAAATATTACCCGTAAGGCCATGCCAACGTCTTCCTTGGCTATGATTTTCTAATGATGGAGAAGGGATTAAGGATTAAAAATGTAAAACTGATCTATCTCTTAAGAGCTCAGGAGGAGGTTTCATGACTCAAATTAATTGGATGGTTTTATTTCAAGAAACCAAGGATTCTGTCTTCATTAGGGCAGAGGGAATACTTTTTTTTCTTAATTGAAAAGAATGGTCATACTGGGTCCATGCTTCGAAAGCAGAAGGTTGGTGTCTCAGAAATGTCTATTTAAGATTCTCTTAAGTTTAGAAGTCTGTAATTTTGCATGTTGGTGCTGCCTGAGTTTTCTAATCAGTATGATTATGAATTTATTTATTTATTTATTTATTTTGTCTTTTTTTTGTATGACCAGTAAGGGGATCGCAACCCTTGGCTTGGTGTCACCCGCACTGAGCTCAGCCAGTGAGCGCACTGGCCATCCCTATATAGGATCCGAACCCGCGGCGGGAGCGCCGCTGCGCTCCCAAGCGCCGCACTCTCCTGAGTGTGCCACGGGGCCGGCCCAATTATGAATTTATTTTAATCAAAAACTTAAGTGAGCAAAAATTTAGACACATGATCTTTAACTATTCATACACTTTTCGAGTTTACAAGAGTGGTTCAGAGGGTCCAGTCCTGCTTCTTCTGCATGGAGGAGGCCATTCTGCTCTTTCCTGGGCTGTGTTCACAGTAAGTGTAGTAGAAGTTGATTAATGCACATTGTTTACTTCTGATGAATTTGACTAGCCTAACTCTTCCTCTCTGCTCACTCGTGTTGTTTGATGTAAGAAAGTGAGCAATGTAGTAGAATCTGAGTATTTGTCATGGTAGGCTCAAGATCACCTGTTTTTTAAGCCAGAGGTTCTTAACTGGGGTGGGCCTTAGTGCATGAATTCTTCAAACAGTTTATAAAATTTTGTATATATGTGCATTGGGATGAGGGGGGTGGAATTTGTGCTTTGTCAAAAGTGGGGGTCTATATCTCAGTAATCTAAGTAATAGAGAGTAAGTAGATATTTTATTCATGTGTTTTGGATAATGTCTATCACATTATTTGTCTCCCTTATACAGCAGCCTACGTAGTACTTTGCACATGGAGCTGTCTCATAAATACTTGGAAAATGTTTCTTCTTTTTTTAAATGATGCTTTATATTTTAATGGTACTTGTGAGCTACTAGGAAGTAAACAATATTTGGTCAGTGATACCCTGGTCTAGAAGTGAGGATATGTGTTTGTGTGAATGCTGCCAGTTTTAGATCTTCCTAATATCCTGGACTCTGGGGTGTGAGAAGAGATACTGCTGAGGAGGATACTAGCAACATCTATGTCTAAAATGAAGTCAACTCTTGTATGTATCAAGCAGGTATACATACAGTACGTCCTCTGTTTACCACTAGGGAGCCTTAAGGACAGAAAATGGGAGCAAGTGGGAATGTATCACTAGACACCTGGAGCCAGATGGCTGTGGAGTTAAGGAAGACCCTGAACATATCACTTTGTGCCGGGCAGAGGGGACTATTGGAATTAAGTATAAAAGCACCTCTTGAGGGCCGGCCTGTGGCTCACTTGGGAGAGCGTGGTGCTGACAAGACCAAGTTAAGGGTTAAGATCCTGTTACCGGTCATCTTTTAAAAAAAGATAAAAAAAGCACTTCTTGTCTCTCCTATTAGATCATGAATTCTTTGAGAAAAGGGATAGGGATAATGTCTTATTTCCCAAAGGCCTGAAACAGTTTTTGACCCAAAAGCATGTATCCAGCTGTTATTAAGTGATTAAATAAATTCACCCTTGTCTTGTTTGCTACTTCTTTCTCTTATTCTAGGATAAGCTGTATGATTTGTCCATAAGTGCCAGGTTTTGTCATGTCTCTAGACCAATGCTGTCCAGTAGGAATATAATGCAAGACATAGATGTAATTTTAAATTTTCTAGTAGACACAGTAAATAGATAAAAAGAAACAGGTGAAATTAATTTTAATGATACATATTTTATTTAACCCATTGTATCTAAAATATCATTTCAACAGGTAATCAATATAAAATTATTGAGATATTTTACATTCCTTTCTTTACTGTCTTTGAAATTCAGGTTGTATGTTATACTTAGAGCACATCTCAGTTTGGACTAACCACATTTCCGATTATAGCTTTAGTCATTTACATTCCTCAAATAGACTGTGAGCTTTTTCAGAGGCAAAGACCATGGCTTATTTATCCCTGGCATATATTGTATGCTCAAGGAGTGTTTTGTGTATGAACAAATAACAGCAACATGTGCCTGTTCCCAATGTAGCAGCTATAGTAGTAAATGTACTCTGTTGCCCTGAACCAAGGTCAGAGCCACCAGAAATGGCCCATGTGCCATAACTTGCACGGCTCTGCTCTAAGCTGCTACACTGTCACTGGACATCTAACACATGGGAGACACGGAAGGAAAGAGGTGTGTGACTGGGGAGAGGAAAGAGGATCCATGTTAATTGGCATGTCACATTCACACAGCTGCATTGTAACTTGCTATGGATAGTAACTTCAGGCTCTGCCTCAAAAGAAATTTGGCAAAAACTGGTCTGTGAATAGGAAAAACTTTATTCCAAGGACAGTATATAATGGGTCATAAGATTCTGTAAAATTTTGATGAGAATTACACATGCAGACCAGAGGTAGCTGCAATATATTCTTGGAACTTTAGAGCAGCTCCCAAGGACTCCAGTGCAAAATCAGAGCTAATATTACCTATTTGAGCATTCATGGTCCTTAGAGAGGAGAGATCTAGGTAGGCCTAGAATGTCTGTGCTAGTTCATGAAATAGCTATTGCTTTTGACACTAAGGGAAGGAACAGCAAAGTAGGAGTCAGATGTGATTTCTAGTCCTGATTTTTCCAGTACTGGTTATGTGGCCTTGAGGAAGCTACTTAAGCCTTTGAACAGGACACTTAAGACTTTGCTCTCCAAATACAGTCTCCTTACATTTCAAGGATTCTTTAAAGATTATGTAAAATATTGGATATGAACTGTTTGTAAATTATAAAGCCATATTCAAATATCATAATCTATTTGTTGACATGTATTGATATTGAATATTTTTATCCCATAGATAGGAGCAATGAAATAACATGGGAAATGCCTGGCACATAGGAGGTGATTGATAAATAGCTGCTGACATTGTTATATTTGTTATCATTGTAGAGGATATCTCTAGTTCTTCTTTTACCAAAGTGTATTCTACAGTTTACTAATTCCATGAGAAATTAATGAAATAGGGATTTTGTGATTAAATGAGTTTGAGAAATATCACATACAATATTCTTCTCTTACCTCTCTTGGAAATTCATCCTACATAAGAGTATATTATTAAAGGCTCTGAGATGATGTTCAAAATAGATTTAATTTTAACTTTGTCTTTCAGATGTATTTGATCTCTCAATTCCCTTTTTCTAAAATACCTACTAGCATCCCACTCCTTTATGGATAGATCATTATATCCCAGTAGCTTACCTGGTTTACTTAAATGACAAAGGGAATTCCCTACTGCTCAGTTTAATAGCTTGGACTTTGGCTAGCTAAATTTTTGTTGTTGTTATTCCCGACAGTGTACTAGTCCACTGAATGAGTTTATATTTAATGGTGCTTTTTTTTTTTTTTTTTTTTGTGTGTGTCTTTTTCCGTGTCTGGCAACGGATCGCAACCCTTAGTGTCGCCCCCGTACCGGACCGGGACCGGCAACGGGATCGCAACCCTCGGTGCTGCTCCCACGCCTCGCTCAGCCAGTGAGCGGGAACCGGTCTGTATGTGGGATCCGAACCCTCGGCGGGAGCGCCACCGCACTTCCCAAGCAGCGCACTATAGCAGTGCGCCACCGGGCCGGCCCCTAATGGTGCTTTGAAAATAAAAATGACTACACAGAAGTTAGTACTTTAGTAATTGACTTGACTCCAGAGGTCAGAATTCCTGTAGGATTGGAACATGTCTGTGGATCCAGAAGGCAGTTATGGCAAATGGCACCTATGGCAAACAGCATGAGTAAGACAAAGCACCTTATAATCATGGAGACAGAATTTCCCTCAGGCCTTCATCCAGGAATAATTGATAAAACAAAGCAATAAAAGGTAAAGCAAAAAGGCACTAGCATAACATGAGAAGTATACTGAAGAGGAAGAAATGAACAGCTGTGATTGGTATTTATGTTGCTAGATCATGAGATCCTTGAGTGCAGGGACTGTGCCTTATTCACTCTCATATATCTAACACACGGGGCATGTCGTGGAATTGTTGCTCAATATTTATTCCTTGAATAAGTTAATGCCATTCCTGAACAATTAAGAAAGGTTAAATTTTGTTCACTGTATTCTGCTTAAGAAAGCAGAAAAGTATAACTATTCTGAAAGCTTTATCAAATGACAGTGTGTCATTTACATATCACTGATACATAAATAAGTTGTATAATGTGGTCAGAAAAATCTCAAACTCTAGGAAACACAGGCCAAAGGACATAAAGAGACAGAATATGTTGCTTTGCCTCACATGGGGTGACGGAGATGCAAAAAGAATTACTCAAAGCCAATTTCTTCTGAGCAGTGAGATACCCCAAAGGGGTTAACTTCCCGGAACCCTCAAGAGAGAGGCATTCCTCCTTGGGAAATTAACCCTGAACTGGGGTTCTGTCTCAGTATTTATTCTCCAGGCCAGAAAGTTATAGAAAAGGAACATAGGTGGAGTTATAGCTAAGTATAGTTTAACAATAGAAACTGGTAACATCAGTGAAATAACAAAGTGACATTCCAATTTGCAAAAGGTTAAGTCGATCCACCAACAAAAGCTTGTTCTTAGCAAACATTTTCTTTCTCTACAGCAATTTCCTTAGTATGCTTACATAACAAGTAAGGTTAACCTGCACCAAGGACGTCTGTCCTTGAGCCAGCAATTCTGCTGTGTTACAATTCTTTATCTTCAACAGAGACTTTAGCCTGGGGAAAGATTCCTGTCTTTTGAAAGCTTAATATTTCTATATGTAATTTTAAAAGTTAGGTTATACCTGAAACTACAGGGCTTTGGAAACTAGGCCCTGTGAAATACATTTGCTTTATAAATGTTAGTATACTCCATGAGAACAGATGTGGAAAACATTCATCCTCACTCATAATCAGATTTGATTCATAGGTATCATTTTTTACATATCAAATAATGTTTTTTGAAATAAATCCTCAGTGTTAGCAAAGGTACCAGAAACAGACAATTTACAAACATTGTTGGTGGCATTGTAAATGAATAGCACTCTTTTGGAAAGTAATTTAGCAATGCGATTGAATAATAAAAGATATTTATACCATTTGACACAGAAATTGCACTTGTAGGGTTCCAAGTTCTAAGGAAATAATACCAAATACAGGAAAAGCTATATACCTAATATTAACAATCCCAGTGAGCAACAGATATGCCTGTAAAACATAGTATTATACAATCTTTTAAGTTAATTTTCCTGGACACTATAGAAAAAAGCTAATGAGTGATTTTTCCCCCTGTTTTTGCATTTTCTAGGTTTTTAGTTGTATGTTGTTAATGCCATAATTTAATGATTTTTTGTTTGTTTGTTTGTTTATTGGAAACTGTTTTCAAAAGAAAAAGATTGTACTTAGTTCTGGGTCCTACAAGTTAAAGAAGAGCAGCCAGGATTACAGTGTTTGAAATAATAG